TAAGTGCATGAACATTTTTAATTGGCCTAAACTTCTTTCCTTTGCTAAGGACCATTGCTTCAGAAATAATCGAGTACTGGTTAACAATTGTATCATAAATTTTTCTTCCTTCGCATATGTCGGAAACTTCCCAACCTCAATCGATCACCAACTACTGCGTCTGAGAAAGATTTATAGCACTTTCTACAAATAGAGACGAGCGTTTCTAAACCGATCAAGTTCAATTGTAGAAGTTATAGTTCGTAACTAAAGGCGTTTGTGCATTTATCGGTTTTTATTAATTAAGTGATACAGTTGTGCTTTCAAAATGTTTGCATTATGGTGACGTCACTATTATTAACGAAGGTGAGACAATTGCAGCCCACAAGTGACTTTGATGAAAAGCTTTGTAAAAACATTTGTTGCAATTATTGCCGTTTAAAATTGGTTGAACTTTCGAAAGATGAACACTCATAAAAAAATACGTAGATATTGTATTTAAAGATATACGTACATGCAGTGCGGGTGTAAACTCTGAAATTATCACACCTATTGGCCGTTTGCACCGACAAATTTAAGCGCAACTTAGGTTAAGCGCCGCTTAAAAACCATGGGAACGATTATTTGGACAATGGCTGCCATTGATTTTGAACTACGCTTCAGCTAAGCTCAACCCAACTTTGTGGATGCAAACGGCCATAAATCTTTTAGTAAACGAGGATTGGGATTAAAGAAAATATTTTTAAACACGTTTTATTTTATTTTATTTTTATTTTTTATTTTATTTTTTTTCTGTTGCGGCTATCGATTTCGACCTTAACAGGTCATCTTCAGGCCGAGCGTCATTTAGTGAAGTGAAAGTGCATGTGACATTTTGACGATGTTATATATTAGTTGTCAGGAATGAAAAGTTAGTGTACCAAAAAGTGAGGTTGTGTATAAGTTATAAGTGTATAAGACAACTAATATATAACATCGTCAAAATGTCACATGCACTTTCACTTCACCAAATGACGCTCGGCCTGAAGATGACCTGTTAAGGTCGAAATCGATAGCCGCAACAGAAAAAAAAAAAAAAAACGTGTTTAAAAAGATTTTCTTTAATCCCAATCCTCATCATACAACACGTTTAAAGAACGATGGAACAATACATCAATCTTTTAGTAAACGTTTTTGAAAATCCTTTTTATTTTAAACGAGACATATTTCACTGTAATATTGTCACCTCAGGATCGTCTTTTGTTTTTGAGATATGACGTAAGCAATGATTTTTTTTAATGGAAACCCAATTTTTTATGCTAAATTTGAAAAGAGCATGGAATTCTTAGACCCTATACTCTAAACAACTGTGTTACTATAATATATTTTGAAATATTTGAGATAATTGCTCTCAAAGTTTTAGAACCAAATCGAAGTTTTAAAACCAAACGCCTAATAAGAATCAAGAATTTCAAGTTTTAATAAATAAATCAAGTAGCCATGTAACAATTAATTGGCGTTAAAATGATGACAGTTCTTCATGAACTTGTTTATCTGTTTTTATGGTGTGGTTTTTTACGTAAGTAATTGGTACGATAATTCACTTTGACTGAAAAAGAGTCAATTTAAAAACAATTATCTCGAATATTTCGAAATACAGTATCATACTTTTTAAGATGTGGTTTTAGAATCTGCTCTTTCCAAATTCAGCATAAAAAATAGAGTTTCCATTTAAAAAAAGTATCGCTAGATCATACCTCAAAAACAAAAGACGATCCTCAAATGACAATTACAGTAAAATATGTCTCATGTAAGATAAAAATTGACGTATTCGAGAAGTTTTTTCAAAAACGTTTACTAACCTATTTATGGTATTAGTTCCAGACTTTACACTCGCACAGTCCACACTGTATATTACACATGTGTTACATGTGTACTACACTTATATACAGTGTGTCCCAGATCGCGTGGGATTGCATGGGTAACTTTCTTATTATTAAAGATAGAGAATTGGTTAAATGGACAATGTTTTGCAGTTTTAGATGTTTATTTAAAATTTACTTATGGAAATTCAAAATGTCGCATAGGTTCGACGTAAATTCAAAAAAAATAAAATTGGTCATTTCCTTGAATGTCTCATATTATCATCGAAAGTATGAGAGATATAAAAAAAAGTTTTATATAGAAGTTACTGTCTTTGGTACGCTTCATTCAGAATTGATAAAAAAATTCAAGATGGCTACAATTGAGGAACATTTACCAACTTTGTAAAGTTAAATAGGCGCCATATTGGTTTTTTAGATAGATTTTTTAATTCTCTTTTCAACGCGCTATCACAGCACAAGATTGAAAATAAGATATCAGTTATATCAACGGTTTTTATATTTTAAACAAGTAGGCTATGATGAATTAAAAAAAAACAATACAAAATCTATTTGAGGCAACAAAACAATGAAAATAATTACTTTTTTCTCCAACCACCTGAATAAGACGCTATTTTGTGACAGTGTTCGGTACGTAAAATTGACGTTTTGCGGATTAATCGCTTTCACCATGGCAACTGTACAAAAAGTGGATACTTTTGGTCCTAGTACCAAAAAGAAATTGACCTTGAAAGTTGGCCAATTAAAAAATTACAATCACTGAGATATGTCACATTGACATCGTTTTACATTGCAGGTTGTAAGATATTTCTATACATACAAAACAAATATTTTTGCGTATTCAGTGCAAATAATGATGTTACCTATACGTATGTACATGTATTGAAAATGACGTATACAACCCGCCGTCGCGCGTAACGCCATCTACTTCAGACCCATTGCACTATTATCTGTCATTTTGAATTCAAAATTTGAAAAAGTTAATTGCAATTAATTTTATTAAAAAAACTGTATGGTAAGTTTTTTATTTCAATACAAAATATAACAATATTAATTGTGTATACAATAGAAATGACTGAAACTGATAGCGACATGGATTGCACTCCGCCAGAGATTATAGAAACGGCAGAACATGCTACCTCAAGATTTGCTCCCTACAAAGTCGCGAGAGGTGAGAAGTAAAAGGTAAAAACGAATAGGTTATAAGTTAACCTAAAAAGTAGAGTGGCATGACACGTGAGGACAAGAAAGCAGAAGTTCTTATACTAGTAGTGAAACTGTGACTGAATCTAAATTCGAATATAATTTGAAGTAAAGGGGGTTGGAGAAAAAATTTTATGTTTTATTCGTACAAAAAAATGCGTTTTCGGGACTCGGAAGGGTGCTGGACTCCGCTAACGCGTCGTCCAGCAACTATCTTCCTCGTCCCGAAAACTGACATTTTTTGTACTAATGAAACAAATAACTATTTTGTCGATGAACTCTTGTATTTTGAATTTCTTTTTTAAAATAAAAGAACCAGTAGGTTGGATGAAATTCAATGAAAATTCATGAATTTTCATTGAACCTACTGGTTCTTTTATTTTAGAAAATAATTACATTTATATACAACATTAATCTGAAGGATTTCAAACGAAATCATCTAACAAGAGCAAATTCTTCGTTACACAAGTAACGTAAAATTGTAGATAATTGTATGAGAGTGGGTCTCGTAACTTATACTCGTCCAAAATCGGTAGATAATACTTGCAGTTAATAATTTCAATGTAGGTACGTCAGTAGAGCAAATATCACGTAATGTCCGTCAAACTCAAACTGACGGTTCAACGTAAAAATACAAAAAATATAAATTCTGCGTAATATAAAAGGCGTTGATGTAGGTCGAAATATTCAGGTAAATAATAACGAAGTAAAATAAACGCGTAGAATGATTACTCAATATTGCGTAATTATTATCACATACCGTAAACGGCTTTAAACTTATCCAAAAAATCCGCAATAGCGTCAGTAAAGCGGGAAAGCAAGTTACAAGAGAAAAACTCTATAACAATAATCACAATAAAAAAATATATAAAGGTGATGACGAAACTGAGAGTATTTAAATAAATATTTAAAAATTTAAATGTTAAAAAAAGAACGTTGCACACTGTTAGTGACTGTTGCCGGGTGACGTATGATACTGTTACTGTGATCACATCCTCAGAGTAAGAATTTCTTACTCTGAGATCCAGGCCTGACGAGAAGGGGGGGTAAACGGGGGGATTCCCCCTGGGCCCGGATTTTGAAAAGGGGCCCATTGCATGGTTTTTTGGGAATAAAATTTTTACATCCTTAAAGCATACCAATTTTACTAAAATAAAATATTTCATATTATGAGTCCTTGATTAGTAGAATAAAGTGGTGTGGAATAGGTAAGTTTAAGCACAAAAAAGGGGCCCGTGCTTAACAACCCCCCGGGCCCCAAGTTTCTCTCTACGGCCCTGCTGAGATCACATCACTCGCACAATGGGAAATAGCTTATTATGTAAGATTATAAAGAGACATTTTAGTTAGTTCGTTTATGATCGTGTATACTTGTGCCGCTTTCGAACTACGAGCATACTCCACATAGAAAGCCTCTATCTAATCTCTTATGCTTTTTATTTTTTTATCTACGTCCGTTTAAAAATCACCGAATTCTCAGCGTCCACGTTCCAGTACAGACTGTCGGGCGTCGCTATGTCCCCTGAAATGAAAACAAATTGGAATACATTAGGGAACACTTATCCAAGTTTCTCTTTTGTACAGAAAATCGGGGAATTAAATACAAAAATTACAATGAACCCTTTATAAATGTGCGATTATTTAATGTATAATACAATAATACGTATATACATACAGTATTATAATGGAGTATCGTGTCTGAAAAAGACACACATTTGTGTGTTTAAAACAGGGTTCGGTTCTCTTTAAGCGAGCGCCGTATGTGCTTGCCGATGCGTGAATGATTGAGAAATTGAATTACAAAAGCAAATGTTCGTTTAATTCGCTTTACATCAGTATTAAGGGGAGCATACAAAAGCACACTTTAGTTCTTGATACCAATGTCTGCGTCTACTGACACCATTCAAAACTGTAGTTGTTAACAATTGATTAATTCAAGCTTTATTTGCCTTTCAGTTTCTCCAGAAACGGTTGTGATACCAATAGTGTCCTGTATCTTTGGATTTCCACTATTGGCTTTGTTAGTCATCTGTTGTTTAAGAAGAAGAGCGAAATTAGCACGGGAACATGCAAGAAGACGCGATATTGAACACGGTACATTCTCTATTATCACGTACAGCTCAATACACTACTTAGGTAACTAGTAATGTTACTTTATACCCCTCAAAAACCAATGTGTGTCTTTGTGAAAACATTTAATTTCAGTTCCAGTAGTAATCCACGGATCATGTATGTAAATAAAACCAACTACCCTAAATCTTAATGTCTTTACTAATTATTTTACGCACATGTATGTTCGTGTACACAAACACATTTTCTTGCTCCAAAACTTGAAGTTAAACTTCCAGTAAACTAATAAAATAAGTTTGACTCGAGTTTTTATACAAGAAAAACCTTCGTCAAATTTAAAGCCAGGTTTAAAGCTATACCCAGACAAATTTTCACGTCTCTCCTATCAAACTAAAACTTTACCACTTCCTACACATTAAGGGAGAACTTTTTGGTGTATTTTAAATGCCATTTCAACTTTTAGGCCGTTCATCTCGAGCTGTTTCGCTTCGATCGGAGCGCGCAATGAGTAGAGGATTTCCATCGTTAGAACTAGATACGGTGTTGGAAGAACGATCTGATCCGGAACCTGAGGGAACCGTTATAGAAATGGTTACACCTGATAAGGATTCTGACAGCTAACAATTAAATAGGCACATCCATTGTGCCGCTGACAGGTAAATGTTACCACTGTTGAATAACGATTAATTCTTGAAAGTAATCCCATTTTATTTTATTCCCCGCGGGCCATAAGCGAATAGAATAGGTGATTGAGGTTATGAACAATTTCCCTATATTACGGTTTGTGTGTCCAAAGGGTAATTAATCAGGCTTTACAAAAGATAATTGCATGCACGAATATCTTTTTTATTATACCCGAATCTCTATCTCCGTTTTGAACACTCAAATGCGTGCGAAATTAGGCCTTTAAAACACACGTGTTTTAAAGTTGTCACTTCAAGTATGAGTTTTGAAACTGTCATCTGGTGCTGAAATAAAAAATCTTCTTTCTGTAAATGCAGAACATTTCTTTGGCTTGTACCAATATTTTGTTTGAACCCAACTAACAATAAAGAACCCCCAAGAGAACGGAATTATTTCATAACTATCGTCTAGCGCTACTTAGAGAATCGTTTATTGTTTTAAGGCATGATGATACGATAGTTTTGTCATAAAAAAGACGAATTTCTTTAAAGCTGTTGTGTAGATATTCTTACAACTCATGTTACAGAACAAATAATGATTGCAAATGCACACATTCTGTAACAGTTGTTTAACGTTTTATACAATCCGTTATAACTACATTTTAAAAGAATTGTATAAACATTATAATGCAGTTGTATAGCTATTCTAATACCTTTCATTTCTGCGTTATAATATAGTTGTAATAGAAGTTGTATAAGAAGTTATATTGAAGGTCTTTATGCTAAATAATACAACTGTAGACTGAAAAACACGAGGAAAAACATTATACAATATACACAAAACTATTTCATAGTTAGCATATAACTACAACAGTTTACTCCCTTATGCAGAACTTCTACAATGAAAATGTAGTTATCGAAAACTCTGCCATATAACACAACATTTCTATGGAACTATTATCTTAGTAACTTTTAGAAAATGGAATCGGCTGTGTCTAAGTGGAAAAAAATTAAAAAGAGTGGGCACTTTAAAAGATTAGCCAAAAAGAAATACCACAGAATTCTACAGCATTGCAGTTACCTTTCCGAGGCTAACTTAGAAGTAGAAGGTTTATCGGTAGTACCTACAACTTCCTCCTGCAGTAATATTGAATCGCAAACTGAAATCCAACAAGGTACAGAAAAGGAATGCGACCTTAATAGTGCTAACGAAATCAATGAATACATGATGGATACCGATGAGGAAAATTTCTTACCTTCGCTTTCTGAAATTGACCAGAAGATTAAAATAAAGGAAAAACTTAAAATATGGGCAACGTCTTTCAATTCAACATTACTCATTCTGCATTAAGAGAGCTTTTTAAAATATGGAACCAAGCTATTCCTAACCTTCTTCCTAAGGATCCAAGGACATTTCTAAATACTCCCATAAAAGTAGATAATCTGTATGGTAACACTTGAAAATGGAACTTACTGGCACAATGGTCTTACGCCAAATTTAATAATTTGTTTGGAAAACTATTCTCATATAGAATCCATTTCCCTAAAAGTGAACATTGACGGGCTTCCCATATATAAAAGTTCAAAGTGCGAATTTTGGCCAATTTTATGTAACATTCATGAAATCCCAGAAGCTAAACCAATAGTCGTAGGAATATACAGTGGCATTGGGAAACCTGCCAATATATATATATACTTATTTGCAGAGTTTTGTTAACGGACTAAAGCAAATACTCAAAGATGGAATCTTAGTTAACAAAAAGAAAATTACAGTGAAAATTCGATGTTTCGTTTGCGACTCCCCTGCAAGAGCATTTATTAAAGGTGGGTATATTAATTACTTCAATTAAATTATCCTGCTATATAAAAATTTTGTTCAAAGATAAGACAGAATAGTAAATTCTTGAAATTTAGTTTTCTATTCTTTTGGGAAAGAATAACGTGCCCCGATCATTTTCCCAATTTTCTGGAACAATCGTCAACTCCTGTCTGCCCTTTTCAACATCTTTGAACTACTACTTCTTGCGGCATACACAAGTGAACAACTTTTACAGGTTAACAATCACATGGATGGAATTTTATACTGCAGATAATTGAAACACATAATATAACTGAATAGTTGTTTAGTGCAGCACAACACATACGCTAAGCGATACATCTGTTCTATTAAAGAGTTTTCCAACGCGCTTTAATGTAATATGGCCATTGGATACACATAGTTGCCATCATACAAAAAATTAATACAAAGCAATTTATTATGTATTGTGAACAATTCTCTTTAGAAGCTTTAACCACAGTCTTGTATCTAGACTGTGCTTTAACTCTGATATATTTCAATATTTTTGCTTAATTAGCGGTTTCAGATACATCTCAACTGGTTTATGCATGTAAAATTAAAATGATATCGGGACATAGTATGAATCTGGCAACTTCCAAAATTTATCAACGATCAGCTTCTTGTCCGATTTTAAAAACCATTCTATGGCGTCGTTGTAACTCAACATTATAGGACTTGAATATTGTATACTGCTCGGAACAAAGCAGAATCATTGTATAACGTTTCTAATTAGACAAAGTCATTGTATTACAATCGCGCCATATTTATTAAGCCAATCACCGTTCATATATCGCCGCCATTATGCAAAATTCGCATGAAAACGTAAAAATAGCAATAATGCATTTAATAGAAGCTTTCACAAACGTGTGTAATTTAGGGTATGCCGCCAAATCTATTATCTTTTTCAATCGAAATCGTTTTAAGATTTGTTCTACTCAAATTCTATATTATACCTTTTTAAATAAAAGGTAAGCATTTACCATGCCCACAGTATGAAATTACAGGATAATTACAAACATTTTTGTCGATATGAAAAGCGTTGCTTCAGTAAAGCAAATTTTATCAATTTATTGTAAATACATACCCAATATTGCGATGTCCCTGTCATAAACCATGTTATTGTTTGATTGATAAATATTCATCAGTTATTGTAGCGGTTAGTTACACAATGGGGTTGATCCCTCGCTCGTACTAAATATAATTGCTCCTCTACGGCACTGGTTTTCTATCACAATTAAATTTACCCACGGCTAGCTTCCTAAGAAAATTTAAATACTTTTACCTTACGCAAATCTGGCATTTTATCTTCGGTTTTAATTAGAAAGTCAAAACTTGTCGCTGTTATTTGACCACAGACGAATAAATACGAATTCAAAAATAAATAATTGAATATATTAACAAACTAAATTCGATCGAATTCCATTCTCCCTTACATTTTTTCTGATTTAAAATACTGATTTGCTTCCTATAAATACAGGAAATACAACCTCTATCTCGTGGCCACGTATCAGTTCTAACTTTCTGCTTATCTAAGTTTTTTACGAAATATTATGATTTAAGTAAATGAAATATAAATTCCCAACTAATTAAAAAATAATCAAATTCCTTTGTATGGGACCAATTATATTGATTAAATGGAATACAAATCTGTTTCATGCAATTAATTTCCATAGATCAGTTTTTTAAGGATTTTATATTTACGGTAAATAGACATCCGCCGCAAATTAAAGATAACAGACAAGTTAATGTAACTTACAGTAATCGTTGGAATCGGTGTTTTAGGATATAACTCTTACAACCTTCCTTTGAAAAAAGGCTCCCTCCAAGGAAAATTAACAACTGGGTCGCTTTAGGGTGATAAGGTAAGAACCCTTAATTGAGACCCGCTCTGATACTGGTACTTGCGTTGTATGGAAATGTTCGGAATAATGAACCGCTTTACCTCGACCGTATTAAAAACTTGCTTCAAATCCTCAAAGAAATAACTCGAGTTGTTGTTGGTGCACAAAACTAAAAAAAATCCTAATTCCAACTACCTTGTACACGCTAATTTTTCCGCTTACTATTTGAGTTTTTTTGTGATCAAATTTTAAATGCTCTGATTCTCAACGAAGACCCTTTTCACGACGGAGCGCTGGTTGCTCTTTAAAGTTTCATGTCGACACATTCCCGGAGAGCGCGTCTACCTATCTCGAGGGACAGCTCCCGATACTTTAGAAATTTGAAAGTAAATATAATTACATACATAATACCACGTGCAAACTTATCAATCATACCGATGAACTTGGTAAACAACGATGTGCTTTTGTCGTTCCCGCAGGCGGCGGTGTTTTTAAGCTAGACGGCCCCTAAGTCGCGAATGCATAATCGTATACAAGGCTTTACGAAATTCGCTCCACCGGACAATGGTCAATGGAGGTTTAATTTTCAGGCAAAAAGGAATAGAAAACCCTTATACACTTTTGGGATCAGATCTTCTACTTTTCCAGATACAAGGTTTGAAAAAAAAATGAGAAAGAAATGCAGAATTTTGTATGGACTACCACAAGAAATTTGGTATTCTTCGGGTGTAATGTTCATGTATGTACGATGTACGTATGGCGACCAGTAATATTTTTTCAAACTTTGAAAACGCCTGGCAAAGGGTAGGGCCCCACTAAATGATCTGGTTTATTTTTTTTTTCGCTCTTTAAATAATAAATTTAAAGGTGTAAACATTTGAAAATGTCTCAAGAGCATTTTTTGCAAAAAAATTCCTATCTTTAAAAATATATTCTGCTATTCTGTGTTTGGGTATTATTGGAGAAGTATTGGACAAGTTTTCGGCGTGCCTCAAATACCTACCCAAAAATGTTACCAACTTACTCTCCTACCATATTAGCAGTTATTGTGAACGCCTTAGTGCCTTAGTCGTTTATAATACAGTCTCTCATTTCCGGCTAAACCGATTAGAACCTAATTTGGTACACATTCATAGACATAAAAGGAAGAGCCTAAAAATCCTTGGATAGAACGCACATGTGTGCGGGTACTATCTGTGCTAGCCACAGCAAACTTTTTCTGAACCATGTTACTGTTATTACCGAGGTTAATACATAAGGTATGGGTAAAACGTAGTTACAGTACGCTCTAGTAAAACCGTTTCCTTATTCATCTTATTAAACATCACTCTTTGGTCTAGGTCTATCTTTTACCT